GCCTTGCCTGCCTGCCTGCCTGTGTGCGCCTTGCCTGCCTGCCTGCCTGCGCCTTGCCTGCCTGCCTGCCTGTGTGCGCCTTGCCTGCCTGCCTGCCTGCGCCTTGCCTGCCTGCCTGCCTGTGTGTCCCTGTCCTGCCTGCCTGCCTGTGTGCGCCTTGCCTGCCTGCGCCTTGCCTGCCTGCCTGCCTGTGTGTCCCTGTCCTGCCTGCCTGCCTGTGTGCGCCTTGCCTGCCTGCCTGCCTGTGTGCGCCTTGCCTGCCTGCCTGCCTGTGTGCGCCTTGCCTGCCTGCCTGCCTGTGTGCGCCTTGCCTGCCTGCCTGCCTGCCTGTGTGCGCCTTGCCTGCCTGCCTGTGTGCGCCTTGCCTGCCTGCCTGCCTGTGTGCGCCTTGCCTGCCTGCCTGTTTGTGTCTATCTCTGTCTGTGATAGCGCTCTGTATATGTCTCAGCATTGGTCCTGACGTGAAAGGCGCTGTACAATTGTAATTTTGTTGTTGTTGTTGGGTCCCTGTCTCTCTCTGTCTCTGCCCCGTATGGTCACACTGTGAATCTGTTTGCCTGTATCTCTGTCTCTGTGTGTGGTTGTCTTTGTGTGCCTGAGGGTAAAATCCTAACCTTCTCATCCCTCCCCCCTGCACATACACAGTTGACCTAAATTCACTTGAAGAAGAAAAAATCACATTGAAATTACAGATGCTGAACCTGACTCCCAATTCCTTAGTTTAGATATTTCTTTCTTGTCATCTCCCTTCCTCACTCACTGCTGCTGTATTTGGCTCTCTGTATCGGTTATAAAACCCTCCAGTATTTTGACAGTGGTTGACACTTTTTTGAAAAATCTTAAGAGATCTTCCCCATATTTCTACAGGTGTACATTGTCTTTTCATTTAAATTATTTTATTAAATATATCAAAAGTGCAGTACCATTTTCTAAAAATTAGCATGTTTCTTCTGCCTTGGTTTTGAGGCTTCCTTTAAATGAATCTGTATTTTTTTAACTGCTTCTGCAACCCTACACCAGCCAGCTTCTAATACAGCAGGAGGGACAGTTGTTATGACGTCTTTCTCTGTACTCTAAGCCAAGACTGAAGATTGTGTCTTCAATGTTTTGTTTTGGAGGGGGTTTGTTTTTCTAAAACTTTCTATTTACTTCAAGTTTTGTGGAGTCCTGTAGCTCAGTGATTAGAGCACTCGCTTTGCAAGCGAAGAGACCTGGGTTCAATTCCAGGCAGGGCGAAACCTTGGGCAAGTTTCCTTACTCCACACACCTAATAATAATCCCTCCAAAACAAAACAATAATAAATTGGTCATTTTCAATCCATGACTGTTTGTGGGACATTGCTGTGCGCAATTGGCTGCCGCGTTTCGCCCACAAAAATATACAGTCAATTCACTTTACAGTATATTCTGTGAAGCGCTTTGAGAAGTCTCAAAGACGTGAAAAGCGCTATATCAAATGCAAGGATTATTATTATTTCTGTATGCTTCAGAGAGCACAGTATTGAAAGAAATCTACCAATTCATTAGAGCCCTCTTATTCTCAAATGTGCTGTAATGCATATTATTATAATTTTAATAATTCTACTGCAGCATTTTTTTTTAAATTCTACCCTGTACACAGAGTTTGAATTGATTTAATAAGTGGAATTTTAGAAGATTTTTTTGCTATTTTGAATTAACCTGTAGTAAAAGGCACATATAATAATAATAAACCTTGCATTGATATAGCGTTTTTCACGTCTTCTAGATGTCTCAAAGTTCTTCACAGAATAGACTGTAAAGTGAATTGACTGTATATTTGTGATCAAAATGAGGGAAAAGGATATTTACACGAATTGCAGCATTGTAATCACCTGTTATAGGTCAAATGCTCCCTTTCAAAGTGATGTATGCGAAACAATTTCTCCATATTTGTTTTTATTATTTTGAATTTGATGTAACTGGATTTAATACCAATAAAGCTAATTAAGCTTCAAAGAACAAGATTAGAGTTTACAATAAAGTGCAATAAGATGAAATATAAGAACAACAAATTACATTTGTACAGTGCCTTTCACGTCAGGAGGACGTCCCAAGGCTCTGGACAGTTAGGGATCCGCACCCGAGCAGTGGTTGGAATCAGGAACGAGGGAGAGTGGGAGGGTGACAGAAGGTACGGTCAAAGAGGATGGTCTTGAGATGGGACTTGAAGGAGGCAAGGGAGGGGGTAAGCAGAGGGATTGCGGAATGGAGTTCCAGAGGGTGGAGGCAGAGAGGCTGAAGGCCCACCCACCGATGGAGAGGCAGGCCAGGCAGGGGATGTGAAGCAGTCCAGAGCTCGCTGAGCAGATGGAGTGGACAGGTTGGTAGGAGGTCACAGAGGTAGAGAGGAGCAAAGCCATGGAGGGCTTTGAAAGCGAGGACCAGGATCTTGAACTGTATCCTCTGAGTGATGGGAAGCCAGTGGAGCATTGATCGGTGATGTAATTGTTACAAAAATGACGCATTGCTCTACTCGAGCCTTAAGCAACGTGATCATATTAAGCTAAATGAACATAGTAAATTTACTTGCAATGCCATGCAGTGCAGAATTTTACTGATGTGACATGAGTTATGCTTCTTTAAAATTAAATTAAACATTGAGCCTCAATGGAAGGTGTAGTCTTTTTGCTAACTAGGCACAAAAGTATCAAAGCAATTAACCAATGATCGTGGTTGTGTATGGTGTAGTGCTTTTGGGATGCGGAGAATAAAGACAATTCTGTCATTCTAAAGTAAAAACACGTTTAAAAAAGAAATTGATTAATGCTAGGTATCCAAAAATGTCCAGGTGTGCTCTGCCTCGCACTTGCGCACTCTAGGCCTGTATGTAATCGGATAGATATTATCCTATTTTCCTTGTCTTCCAGCCTGATGAGCATTAATTTTATTTTCCTGATTATTCTAAAATAAATTAGTTTTATCAGTCTCAAGCTACCTTTGGTAAATATGAGCTCACATTATTTTTAGCTTGACATTTGTGTATCACAATACAACTGTGTTTGAGAGCTCAAAAGTAGATCAGTTGAATTAATACACATTACTGATGTGGAAGTAGGCAACAATTGTAAAATATTGGCAAAGGGATACCTTACACTGAAACTATTCAGATAAATGTACTCTTGTTCTGCAATTTTTTTTCAAAATAGCCTATAACCTGGTCAACTTTGTATGATTTCAGTTTCGGAGATTCATAGTTTCAATCAAAGAATTCTTCATTTCTTTAAATTGACTCAGTTTAATTGTTTCTGCCAACCATTTCACTCAGTCAGTGATTTCAACTAAATATCTACACTGGGTAGCTACTACTTTGATGTAGTAACTAACCAAACATATTTCATAAAACTGGTATTCTCACACTTGAATGAACGTTGTTACTCATGTCCTTTTTGAAATATATATATGTGTAGGATTAAATGGAGCAATTATCCAAAGGTTATTGTGGTGGCTTAGAGAGACAATGCTGTGTTTTATTTGTGTAGAGCTCAGGATGGGAAATGAAAATAGCACAGCAGATTAACATACTTTTTTTTTTACCTTTAATTGTGTTTCATTCAGCCCGGAGTAATGGATTCAAAAATGATTTTTTCTGCCAGATTCAACTTGATTTCTAATAGTTATGGACCCACTGCAGAAATTAGTCCCAAAGAAACTGGCATTAAATTGTCAATTCACACAGCAATAGCTGGTTTGAGAATGTCTGTCGGGGGAAACTGAATTAATTTTGGTGTATAAAAAGGTGCTTCTCTGAGATTTGAGTTCAGGCAGATTATTGCTGGAGAGGAACCTGAAATCTGAATTTTTCAGAAATCAATACGGCGCAGTTCTGATTACAGAATTACTGAATAGCTGTAAACTTGGTGTATGGTTCATTTGTAGGCAATGTAAGGTTTATTATTATTAATTTAGCAAGTTTTTATTGTTCGGAATGTCTGTTTTGTTCTGCGTTCTTTTCCTCCGGTCATTATGTGTAGAGAATTATTACTTGGCGTCTTGTTTGACCCTCAACTATCCTTTCTACGCCACATCCGTACGTACCATGACCAGCTCTGCCTTCCCCCACCTTCGCAACATTGTCCGGCTCCGCCACTGATTCACAGCGCAGGCCACCGAAACCCTGATACACGTATTCATAACATCGAGGATTGACTATGCAAACTCCCTGCTTGTCGGCCTCCCCAACTTCGCACTCCATAGGCTACAGATCATCCAGAGCTCTGCAGCCCGTGTCTTCTCCCACACCAGGCTCTGTAACCCTATCACCCTCATCCTCGCCCGACTCCACTGGCTTCCCATCACACAAAGGATACAGTTCAAGATCCTGGTCCTCACCTTCAAAGCCCTCCATGGTCTTGCTACCCCTACCTCTGTGACCTCCTAACCCCCTATCAGCCTGCCCGTTCACTCTGGCCTGCTTTGCGTCCTGTTCCTCGCCTGTGGTGGGCGAACCTTCAGCCACTCTGCCTCCAGCCTCTGGGACTCCATCCGGCAGTCCCTCCCCCTCTCTTGCCTCCTTCAAGACCCATCTCAAGACCCTCTTCGACTGTGCATTTGATCGCCCTCCTTCCCCCACTGCCCTCCATCTTCCCCGATCCAGCTTGGGTCTGAAACACTGATGTCCAGCACCTTGGGACGTCCTCCTGACGTGAAAAGCGATATACAAATTAAATTTTGTTCTTGTTACTGTGCAGTAGCAAAATACCATTATAAGCTCATATTGACCAGTTCATTGGACTTGTGAACAAAACCAATTAAAGCCCACATATAATTTAAAATTGAAGATTTTTATAATCAGATAACTTGAGGGTTTTTAATGATCTTAAAGAAAAAGTTACCCCATTCCTCACCCAACTAAATAACTGCCCACGTGCATTCTGATTTTCCATTAATTTTTTTAAGTTCTTATTTTCTGTCTTTCCTCATCGCCTGTCTTCCTTCCTAAAATTTCAGTGGAATTGCTTTCTTCCTATCTCTGCATTCAGGTAGTATCTGTGACTGAGTACCATCGCAGGATCGATGCTCTTAATGCTGAAGAACTGCGCAAGCTTTGCAGACGTCTTAAGGTGCCCCATCTGTAGTTAAAACCATTATCCATTTGCCCCCCCAAAACTGGAGCAGATGTGATTGTGTGCATCCCAGTTTTTGTCAGTATCAAACGCACCAAAGTGGATTTGCCTCAGCAGCAGCGTTTTACCAAAACATAGCAAAAAAATTCCTTAATTTGGTTGCAGTGGTGTGTGTTGGTTGGTAAATAAATCACATTGCATGTTTGGGAGTTAATCCTAGAAGAGAAAAATAATTAGGAATTTTCTGCCCTCCATATCACTGTAGGTACCTTTCAAACTATGCCCTCATCGTTGCATCTGTCTAACCACTGTGGCCATAAGTAATTTCCCCATAATTTGCTTTATTGCAGAATTTGGAGAGTATTGTTTGCTGTGGAGGAAAATCTTTGCTGACGAGAATGCAGTCGCTGAATTAATTGTCTTTGTGTTAATGTCAGTCTTGATGCACTATTTTTGCAGTAAATTATCTGCAGTTCTATCACCTGCATTCTTCTCAGCTATCATCATAGATTCTTGCAGCCGTACTACATTGTTGAATTATCGTGCATCCTAATTTTCCAGTGGTAGCATGAGCCTGCAGTGTATGATGGTAGTGATCTTTATTAAAATCACAGTGCAGAATTCCAGCCAGATGAGAGGAAACCAAATCCAGGAAAGAGAGGGGGAAAATAACCCTTTCATACAAGTGACTACACAACTTGTCAAATTTACTTTGCAGTGAGCTGCGGTTAAGTTTTTGTTTTGGTGGGAATTCTGACTGGTTTTAAGAATTCTTGGCCTGTAGCTGCACTTCCTTTGTACAGTTATAAAAATGTTTGCCAGAAGCTTATTGAATTTGCAGTTATTGATGATGATAACCCTCCCAAGTTTTTTAAAAACATGATACATATTTGAAATGAGCAAAACCCTGAAACACCGGAACCAGCAGGTTAGTAATGGTTTGAAATTTTATGTAAACGTTACATAGAAGATCATACACAAGCAGCTTTCTCGTCAAGATGAGAGCTGCATATAACCATGATAAAGGCTTCTAGCTGTTTCATGATGTCTCTGTTTTTAGATAACGACACGAGAAGATACCAATGTAAGGCAAAGTACTCCAGTGAAGTCCGAATTGGATCCTGAAACATTTCGTCCAAGTCTGAGTGAAAAGAGTGACCTGCTACAGCCTGATCAGATTGAGAAGGTACAGTAGAAAAATGCCACAAACCAGTATTAAAAAATATTCTAATTCATAATGTGGTATAATTTTAAAACCTGGAGTAGATTTTTCCTCACTTTGCTCAGTCAATTATTGCTAGTTTCATTGGAGTTGGGTTCTCTTTACTGTGGCAAACAGCATAAATTGCCGGTAGGCAATTATCTGTCTTTTGTCATTTCTACCTTCTGCCCAAAAACTATTGTATCTCTTTCATGATCTGGTGGTTACAGAAGCGCAAGTCTGCTGGGGCTTTTTGCTAAAGCATCTGACAATATCTGTCATTCCCAATGTACCATCTGTACCTCCGCTATGAAAGGCCAACACTCCTGGGATTAGAAAAACTTCCACGTGAATTTAATAGATTTTAGCCTTCTCTGCACAAATAGCTTGTATAGTGTGTGGACAAAACTAATGAAAAGATTGAGTATTCATCACAGATTTGTTTTCCTGAATAACATTGTATTGTATAGCAACTTGCAATTATATAGCACCCTTCACGTGGGGTAGTGTCTTGGAAAATACTTAACCGTGGCAGAGCTTGTCGTCAAGTTTGGAGAGGGGAGGTCACTGCAGATATCGAGAAAAGCAAAAATCTTCGGGTACGATCTGAAGATGGGCAAGGAGGGGGCAAGGCAGAGGGATTGAGACAAATAGTTCCATAGTTTCAAGGTGTAGTGTCTGAAGGTACAGCTGACATTGATGGAGGGGACGAAAGATATGTAGGATGGCAAGAGCAGCTGAGCGAAGGGGTGGACAGAGGACTGGGGTGTAAGCAGGTCAGAGTTGTAGGGAGGTGCCAGGGAATAAAAGTGAAAGTGGGTTTGAAGATCTTGAAATGAATCTATTCTACAATAGGGAGCCTGGAACCTGGCAAGAACTGGGATGATTGGCTTACACGTGAAACTAGAATTGTGTTCCTTTCCTTGTGAACTGAGGAACTCTGGTGTTGGAATAAGACGTTGCTGCTTGGTTATAATTGTTCCTCTTTTCTCTGCACAGAACTTTGATTATGTTTTATATGGTGCTAATAGCTTTTATCATATTGAATGTGTGATGTTAAATATAACTCAGTTAGTAAATGCTGTATTGAAGTGTTGTATAATTTACTTTTCAAATAACAATCACCTTTTTTTCATATTTGACAAAGATTGCTGGTTGAAATTGATATAGTGAATTGAATTCATAAAATGTACTATGTACTTTAGTTTACAAACCTTTTGTTTAGCAGTCCTGTTGGAATGAATTGGCTTGTGACCAATCACTTTGTAATTTGTTACAACAGTGGCTTAATGACTCATTGGGACATGCATCACTTATTATTGCTTAACAGCAAGTCTTTTACAGCAGTGCTGAATTAGTAAAATAGTTCTTTCACAAATCATTATAGTGACTGTTGTTTAAATGGCAGGTTTCAGACAGAGCCATTGCTTTCTTTAATATTAATAATAATAGTAATCCTTGCATTTGATATAGCACTTTATCGTGTCTTTGAGATGTCTCAAAGCGCTTCACGGAATATACTGTAAAGTAAATTGACTAATTTTTTGTGGGCGAAATGCCCCAAATTTAGGAATTTACAGTTTCTGAAAGAGTTTGCCTACAAACTGTAGTGCCATATTAAATGCAACAATTATTAATTTGGGTGAGAGGGTAAATTCTGCACTCCATTCCAAACGTATTTTGGGGGTGACTTCTACCTAAACAAATACATTTGAATTTTTATAAAACTTCTTGCCTTCACATAACATCCTTTTACGATACATTGGATTACTTAAGCCTTTGACTTTGTTTATAAATTTCAGCTCGCAAAAAATCTTCCTCCAAGAACTGTTGGGTATCCATGGACTCTCAGCTACAGTACAGGAAAACATGGGATGAGTCTGAAGACACTGTATCGTACCATGACAGACTTTGATACACCAATGCTGCTTGTAATCAAAGACAGCGATGGCCAGGTATTGCAAAGAAATGTGTTAATCGGGTGTTTCATTATTTATAAATACTATACACAGGTTTGACTGATTAACATTCCAAATGCTAAATATTGTGTTGTAGAATTCCATAGATATACTTTTTCATTACTTCTTGAAATACATATATTTAAATGCCGCTGCTAACCTCTTTGAGGGAAATACACAATTATGTGCCATGTCATTTTGAGTACATTCATTTAATTACGCATAGGCACCCAATATCCTGTAATGACTTCATACCTGGTGCTCTGCCACTATTCCCTTCGCTCTCCATGTGCCTCATTCCTCCTATTCCGCTCTCTTCCTGTCACTCTTCGCTTCCTTGTGTACTACCTTGTACCTCCGTTGTGTACAGGCTAGGGATGAAATATTGGACATTCCAGGCAACTTTGTTTTACTACATTCAAGCCTATTGATTAGAAAACAATAAAAGTATTAAAGGGTCACAATTGTAACTTAACTTTTGAACAATCAACTTATTGGAGTTTGAAGGAATGTATTCTGCTGAACATTTTAACTGGTGCCTTTTTTCCTCTTTTATACCTGCAGGTTTTTGGTGCACTAGCATCTGAACCATTTAAAGTTAGTGACTGTTTTTATGGCAATGGAGAAACATTCCTCTTCACATTTTGCCCTGAATTTAAGGTAAGAACTGGGAAATTATTTCAAGTCCCAATCTGAGTTCAGATGAGTTTAAAAATTTTGTAAGCTTTAATTACGACTGTTTTTTGATTAGGTTACATTTCTCTAATAGCTCCCATATATCAATTTTTTTTTTAATCTCCACTTCTTAATTTTGTGGTAGTTATCAGAGGGTAGGATGGTCTGTGCAAAAGGGTTCTGTTGTCCTTGTATGGAGATCAGACCATTCTTGATTTTCCCACCCAAAGTTTGGTAAAACATGTGTTTTGAGACTACTCCTGATGTGAGTAATGTAATTAATACATTGCATTAATGTAAGTTGTTGTAAATTGTGGTCCATCCTGCTAAAGTACTGTGAATATCTTTAAATCAAAATGTTTGTTCTTCTTATCCTGGAGGTCTGATGTTTGCATTGTAGGTAACTTTCCTGTTATTAAAAGCATTTAGTTTTGGAATCTTAACTGATTTCCCTCGCCATCCTTTCTAACGACATCATTTTAGAATCAAATGGATCCGTTTTCTAGCATGGCATAGTGGACTTAAACTTTCCACTTGTAACATTAAAGTCTTCTTCTCCAAACTACTTTTAATATAATACTCTTCTTCAAACTACTTTTAATATAATTTTCTTTCATAGATTGGGTTGCAAAATCATTTGTATTTGGTTTTGATTAAATAATTGTATTAAGTTCCTTTTTGCTTGATGAAGACACATTTATATTTTTAGCACTGGTGTGTTAAGTCTCGTCAGTGATAATTGATAGTATGCAAATTTCTGTTAAGTAAACTGAAGCTAACTTATTTCACTTACCCCACACATTTGTGAAGGTCAGCGTGGTGTATTTTTTTTAACCTGGGCAAATGTAGGTATTTTTAAACAGATTATCAATTTACCAGGAAACCACACTTTTAAAATATGAAAAAGAGAATCCAAATGCTGGACTTGGAGATGCATGTAACCTTTGAATAAGGATTGAACAAGCGGCTTTGCAATGGAAATGTTAAGTAAAGGGAATTATTTGAACCTTACTGCCAATTGTACAGTGATTTCACACCAAGAGTGGAATTGGTGGTCTGTCTTGGAAGTCATGCTCTTGGAAGCGAGTGACATGAGTAGTCCTTGCATTTCAACATGTTTTGCCTAAAAAACAGTAACTACGGTTGATAATTACTGTTGCGTTTGATGCTATATCAAATCCAAGGATTATTTATTATTGTGCTCGTAATGTGTGTATTACTTTTAAACTGCTCTAAATAAAACCCAGTGCACCTGCTCCGTACAGCAAATATAGTTTGTTTCTATATTGGTCTATTGATTCCTGCTACATCTCAGTGTCACTTAGCAGTTCCAGCATCTTAATTTCAGGAGGTTTAGCTGATACAGTTAATGAACTGCAGTACAGTATGTTTAGGCTTGGGCAGTGTGTGTCATTAACTCAATTCCTACAGATTTGAAGAGCCACAGCTACCAACAATGCAATCTTTGTCTTCTAATAAAACTACTTAGCTCTTTAGAATCGGCTCCATAGCTAAATTAATTTATTTTAACATGATCGTTGTCAATAAGGAAACAGTGAGGATAATTTTTCACCACCAAGATACAAATTGGCCACAGTGTTCACCAAAAAGCTTATTCAATCAGGACTAATAGTCATTTTAATACCAAACAGTGTTCTCCTTTTCTCTCTGACTCTTTCTTGGAGTGTTTCTAACTTGTATCTATCTCCCAGACTGTCCTTTTCTTTCTCTGTCACTCTCTGTCTCTAACCCCACACTGTTAAATAAATATTTAATTTTGCGCTTCCAGTTTAATCACGGTGAATAAGTAAATTGCAGGTCAGACAGTGCTTGTGCTCTTAATTGTGAACCAGAGACCCCCTGCTGGAAATGAATGTATTGCAATTGAGATGTGACTGGGATTGGCCGTGATGCCCCCTGTAGTTGAATATCCTGCCAATGCTTATTAAGAATTGTGACTTGGATGAAGTAGCAGGGTATCCATGGAACTGTACCTCCAAAAAGGGAGAAAAAGGTTTACAGGAGAGGGAAAATAATGCTATATTCATGTTCCAGTTAGATGCATGTTTTACAAAATAGTGCCAAAATTAATTTTTTCAGGTCTTCAAATGGACAGGAGATAATATGTTCTTCATAAAAGGAGACATGGATTCCTTGGCTTTTGGTGGTGGAGGGTAAGTAATCCTAGCTTAAGCAGGTCTTTTGTAGGCTTGTGTTATCCTGTCCTGCGTAGAGTCCTGTAGCACAGTGGTTAAAGCATTCGCAAGCGAGAAACCTGGGTTCAATTCCCAGCAGGGCAAAACCTTGGGCAAGTTTCTTTACTTCACATGCCTGATAATAATCCCTCAAGAAAAAAAAATTGGTCACTTCAATCTGTGACTGTTTGTTGGACACTGCGTAATTGGCTGCTGCATTTCGCCCATAAATATATGGTCAATTCACTTTCCAGTATATTCTGTGAAGCGCTTTGAAATGTCTCGAAGATGTGATAAGGCGCACTATATCAAATGCAAGGATTATTATTATTGTCCTCGGTATACAGTTTTTTAGCTATTGTATTAAGGAAAATGTAGTTATGCTATAATTTTTTAAAAAAACAAGCAAAATATTAGAAAGACTTAGCAATAACTTTTTCTGTCTCTTAAATATTTTGTTTTAAATGGTGAGCCCCAATTATGTCATTGTGAGCAAAGGATCCATAAACCTTATAATTTCTGGATTTGCAAGCNTTTTTTAATTAAACAAACCCCAATGGTGAAATTATTTAAAAACTTTACATACTGTTATAGTTCTTTTCTTACTGTTATAGGTTTATCTACTTGCACAGTAACAGAGATCTGCTACAGTAATATCAATCATCCTATTGTTGAACCCTCAATTGTCTTTAAAAAGTCCTCCAGCAGCCTTACAGTGGGTAGTCAATAGCAAAAAGCACTCAAAAAAAAATTTCTGTGGAGTCCCATGCATGTCACACAGAATTGCAAGATCTCAGTTCCTTTGAGATTTCTTGTCTGAGCCAACATCTTGTGAATCTACATGATTACTGGAAGAAAAATGCTATTTACTTGGGAATGAAGAAAACACTGTTTGTCAGGAGGCATTTTTGCTAGCAATGGCACAGTAATAATGTAAATGGAGCACCTTTTAGTACCTATTGTCGCCTGAAAAATACCCTTTGCGAAACATTTGTGTGAAACCTATCCAATATAAGGATCATTTTGTGAAGCATATCAATTGTAAGGATTATTTTTGTGATCCGTTTTGCAAAGGTGATTTGAAAGAATTATATATTGTGATGAACTAATCTGCTTATTTTTTTTAAAATTGCTTAATTTGATTTACTAGGTTTAATAGTTTCATGTCATCTTGTTTTTCTCTCCCAGCTAATTGTTTTTTTTTAATCTTTCCAGAGGGGAATTTGGATTGTGGTTAGATGGGGATCTCTACCATGGACGCAGTCACTCATGTAAAACATTTGACAATCACATCCTTTCAAAAAAGGAAGATTTTTATGTACAGGACATTGAAATATGGGCTTTTGAGTGAAAAATGCTTCACATAAGCACTGAAGAAATTCAACGTCTCTCAGATGTAGGGCCCCAAACCTGACCATGCATCAGAGCAGCAAAGACAAATCTAAGCAAATAAGGCTAATGCTTTCTTTGGTGCCCTTCCAGTAGAAAAATCAAACTAATTCAAAAAACAAAAGATTGCTATTACAAAATAGTTAATATTCGGCTGTGTTTAGTTTGCTCTACAAATGTAATTTGTTGTTGTTGAATGGGTCTTGTCATTGTAACCAAAATCAAGTATTATCACCACCAAAACAAATGTGCATATATTTTGAGCTTGAGATATAAACACCAACCTCCAGACCTGAACAGTCAATGTAAAGCTAATTTATAACAAACCTTGGAACACCAAACTGTAAGATCTTGAAGTCTGTAAGTAGCATATACTAGTTGCAATTGCACTAACGTGCTGGGGTACTCACATTGAAGAGAATTTAAACCTAATGTAGTTCAGCTCTCTGGAAGAAAATATCTTTGTAATGCTGTTCCTGATGTTGCTGCTGCAGGTTTGGGACGAGTACTCTCAGCTTTTGGGTTTGATGACTGAAAACAGCTGGGATCACTCCACATCTGCAGGCTATCTGTAAGGAGTTCAAAGCATAGGTATTCCCTATGTTTTGTTATTGGAATACCAACAAAAGAAATAGAAATATTACAACAGAGCTTTGTGTTGCTGTATGTATTGCTGGATAGATGTCTCAACAGAATATTGCAGGTTATTTTTAAAAATAATAGCAATGTAGCTTCCCACAAAAAGTGAAGCGTATAACGTATTTATTGGTTCTATTTATCCTACTGTTAAGCTTCATAGCACACTAAACCAAGCACATACTGAATTACCCATAGTTGTGCTGTCTGTCAATGGGTGTACATTGTGCGTGCAGCTCAGACCAGCTCTACAGAAGAGTAGCATAGATACTGTAGATGGTAGGATCATTTCGTAGACGTGTGGAAAATGCAGATTACTGTCATGTGACCTCTGAAACAATTGACAGGCAAAATATACCAAGTGTTCCTGTCTCCTTAGGAAATGGGTGAAACCCATTGTGACAACCCTTAGATCAAATGAACTATTTCAGAATGCAATGGTTTTCTCTGTATTTAGTCATGTCTGAAACTGATTAATGTACGTTTTACNAAAAATATTCCTGTTCTGGGTGTGACAGTGACTTTCTTCGTGCTGAAAATCCAGCTGTTCCAGATGCATTGTATATTATCCTGTAAATTAAAGTTTAAAATGTAGTAGTTCTTCAGGTTTAAAAAAGTGGATTGATGGGTTGCTTATAGCACTTTGAATTATGATAGAAATGAACACAAAGGCCAGTACATTTGTTGGGTTTAGTTGCAAGCAGTTTCTGTACAGTACATTTTGGGTTTATTTGAGGTTTTGGATTGTTGGGAGGGAGCTTGCTGCAATTCAAAAGGCATATTAATGTTCTTTATTACTATGTTTATGCTAAATGTGAAAAATACAGAACACCAATTCTCTCCTTATTTTTTGCCTAATGTTCTGTAACCTTGTTAGGATGTAGCCTGAATGTTTACAGACTTGAAACGTGAATTGTAAATAAATACAGCAGCTTTTCTTCTCCCTTGGTCTTCCACAGCAGTATTATTGTCTTTGTGGAGTTACAGCTACCTATACAAATATTTAAAATAATCCTATAATGGATTAATAATATTGCAATGTAATGGTGATGTATAGTAGAATAAATTATTGAAACCTCATACCTTGTTTTGAATTAATTTGGCTTCAAAACAGCAGATACATCAACAACAAGATTCCATTTATAGAGCGCCTTTCACGTTGGGAGGATACATAATCCTTCTGTACGTACTCATTGTTTCAGCAAGGGCCTGTAACTTAGTGGTTAGACCACTTGCCTCGCAAGTGAGAGGACCTGGGTTTGATTCCTGGGCAGGGCAAAACGTTAGGCAGGTTTCCTCACTCCACACACCTCTGTTTACCTAGCAGTAAGTAGGAACCTGGTTAGTCGATTGGCGGATTGCTTTTCTGGGGGGTAATAATTCTTTCAAAAAAAAATTGGTCACTCATTCCACGACTGTTTGTAGGACACTGCTGTGCTGTGGCTGCTGATTTTTGCCCAGAAAATATACAGTCATTTCACTTTATATTCTGTGGAGTGCTTTGAGACGTCTCGAAGACATAAGGCACTATATCAAGTGCAAGGGTTATTATTAGGGCAGGGTTTCTGTCTTGAATAATGAGTAATTTCCAATTGCTTTCCGAAGATGTCAGTACTAACTTTCATGATTGGATAGAATATCATAGAAGGACAGTTTGCTCTAAACATTTTGTGCGCAATACACATTTAGTGTATTTTAGATTTTAAATCTTATCACACTTCAACAAAGCTGTCTGCTAGGGCCCATCCAGGGTGTATGCAAATGTTACTGATGGCTGAATATTTTGAAGATTAATGTTTTACGCATTCAGAAATCCTGTACTCTAGCCTCTGTCCTGAGGTCAGATTAAAAAAGCACAGATTACACAACCACAGACCATTAACCATGTGCATTTACTTACCATGTGCTTTTAAAAAAATTTAAAACAATACAACAATACATAAAACATTAATAGTGTTCAAATGATCTTTGTGTCAATTGGGCAATGCTATATCACTATAAAAAGTAAAATAAACTGAAGGAAAACTCCACAACCAGCTAATTGTTTTTCTATTTAGTTCAAATTTTGTGATCTTGCCTGTGAATGTCGTGATATTTTGAGACCTATGTATATTCTGTAATTTAGTCTTAATTAAAAGCACAATCACTATTCAACTTTGACTGCTGATTTCTTTTGGGGATTCGCCAGATTGCATCTTATTACCATATTTAATGTATCAGACTCCTAATTATTGGCCAGTAGGTTATGGGCTGCATAAAACAAAAATCCATTACTGTTGCATATTCTTGTTGCTAATATTGTCAAAGTGAAAACTTTGAATATCCTGTCCCATATCATTTCCCAAATGCCAGTGCAAAGCTTCTGGATCAAAGTAGACATTTGGTGCCAAGGTGTGTGATGAGATCTAAAATCCACTAAATAACTGTATTTATAAAATGTAATAAGTATTTAATTTTCTTAAAGAAATTGTAATGCATGACTCTTTATTGAAGAGTGTGAATCAATTTTTCTATTGAATCTTAATTTCCTGCAGTTTCAGAATACTGATGTCGGTTGGATGTTGGAAGATAACGCTTTTACTTTTTATGGCTGTTCACATTGATATTTTTAGAAAAATGTGATTTGTTATGATGTAAAATCCTAGCTGGAATTGTAACCCATTTTTCACTCTGATGCTGGTTCGACCTGTTGTAGATTTGCATTATTTCTTTTATACTCAGAATTACCAAACCAAGTGCTTTGGGATGTCCTCCCAACGTGAAAGGTGCTGCATATTGTAAGTGTAAATGTATGCAAGGATTATTATAAAATTTGTATTGTACTTCCAAGTAGACTTCAATTCAGACCAATAGAGGGCACATCATATCTATAATACGTTAGATTTTCACCTCACCATTTCTGGGACATGCTGAGTATTACTTTAGATGAGAAATATTTGAAGTCCATAATTCTTGTTACCTCTGAGTAAAATCTTAAGATGGGCCTGAAGAGCAACAGAATCAAAGATTCAAGGTATGGTTAACGCTGATGTAAAGGTGTGGAAATAGGAGCAACGTGTGTGAGAAAAGACCTTTAAACTCATTGGGTCTAGTTGTCAAGTGATATTTCCCTAACTGCCATGATCACCAATCACCTCCTCTTGTTAACAACATCCATTCCCATCTTGAAACTGTTCCTACAAAATACCTCCCTGGGACAACCAAGTTCATAGGGTATATTCTGTAAGCAGTGGCATGCCTGAGGTCTGTAAGAATCTATCTAGGGATTGCAGCACAAATCTGAGGTCCACTATTCCATTCTGCAGCATGTTTATTCTGAACCACAGAATATTAGTAAGATTGTACAAATTTGCATCCAGTTTTGATTTCATTTTGTGAATGTTTCTTGGAAACAAAATGTCATGTATATGATGCAATTGTATACATCGAGATGACATCCAACTCTATCTTTCTGCCTCCACCCTCAACTCCAGGATCACTGCTGTCCTGACAGACTGCCTGTCAGACATCAAGTCCTGGATGAGGGCAAATTTCCCACAGTTGAATGTGAACAAGACTGAGGCCCTCCTGATTGGCTCACGCCAGCGCCTCAGCACCTCAGGCTCTGGCAGCATCAACCTCCATGGTTGCACACTTCAACTCACCGCCAGTCAGGAACCTAAATGTCTTGTTCGACCCTCAACTGTCTTTTCTCCCCCACATTCAAGCCATGACCCACTCTACCTTCCCTCACCTCCGTAACATCGCCCGACTCTGCCACTACCTCACCCCTCAGGCCGCTGAAACTCTGGTTCATGCCTTCATCACCTCCAGGCTCGACTATGCAAACTCCCTGCTTGTCAGCCTTCCCAACTCCTCCCTCCACAGGCTGCAGATAATCCAGAACTGCAGCCCATGTCCTCTCCCGCACCAAACTCTGTGACCCCCATCTCCCCAACTCTTGCCTGACTCCATTGGCTCCCTATCCTTCAGAGGATCCAGTTCAAGATCCTGGTCCTCACATACAAAGCCCTCCATGGCCTCGCCCCACCCTATATCTGTGACTTCCTAACCCCCTACCAACCCACCCGTTCCCTCCGCTCAGCCGGCTCTGGCCTGCTCCACGTTCATCAACCCACCCGCCTCACCATTTGGCGGGAGAGCCTTCAGCCACTCTGCCCCCAACCTCTGGAATTACAGCCCCCAGTCACTCCGCCTCACCCCCTCCTTAGCCTCCTTCAAGTCCCGCCTCAAGACCCTCCTCTTCGACCATGCCATCGGCCACCCCCCTTCCCTTCCCCTCCCGACCCCAGCTCAGGTCTGAAATGCTGTATTCTGTCCAACGCCTTGGGACATCCTCCCGACATGGAAGGCCGCTATACAAATGTAATCTTGTTGTTATATGGCAAGATATTTAAATATTTTTCCAAAACACATTGCTGCCTTTTAAAACTGGAATTTATGGCTCCTAAGTATTCCTATCTCACCACACCTTACATTTATGCATTTAAAAACTAAACCATATCGCAGTTATGAACAAAGGAGAAAGATTGCACATTTGATAAAAGTCCAGCCTCCATGATCTTTGGAGTGTGATGTTTACTGTGATCAAGCCAACAAGTAACTTAAATAAGCTCAGGGAATCATTGTAAACTTCTTTTTCTCCTCGCCGTTCTCCCTTCCACTGCCATCCATAAAATCCAGGTCATACAAAACTCTGCCGCCCGCTTTCTCACCCACACCAAACTGCTCCCCAATTACCCCAGTCCTCACCAGACTGCGCTGGCTGCCTGACTCAGAGAGGATCGACTTCAAGATCTTCACCTCTGTTTTCAAATCCCTCCACTCCTCTGCACCCCCCCCCCCCCTCTCTCGCTGACCTCCTCTCTTCTCACAATAGTGCCCGTTGCCTTCATTCCATCAGGTCTGGCCTCCTCGTTGTCCCCCAAGTCCTCCACTCCACCAAGTTGTTGTTGAAACAGCAAAGCAAAACTCCCAATATCTTATTAACAAATTAAATATGCTGGTTCCATGCAGATAGAATTATACATAGTTTATGGAAGTAATGAGCCCAATAAATAGCCTATTCATGTATAATACTTGTGCTGTGAAAGGTGGGCGATGTTTAATTTTTGGCAAAATAAACAATTGATAAACTGCATAGCGTAGGACATGGTTGTGTTGTGCTGAAAACCTGTAGTATCTGCATTCGGCTGGATTTGAAATACAATGGAAACTCACTATAAAGGTCAGTAAACAGACTGATTAATTTAGATTACATTAGTAAGTTGACAGTACAACATTGGAGACGTTACACTACATGAAAGGTGATATAAAAATGCAAGTAATTGTTGACTTAACTGATGTTTGTATTACTGTACTACATAACGTTGAAATGAAGACTGCAAAAAACACATGACTATTAGTGAGTTGACCATATGAGTGAGTTGACCACATTAGCTCATTAACTTCACTAGTGTATGTATCACTGCACTATCTAATGTTGAAATATCATACAACCTAACATTTACATAGCTCCTTTCACATAGGGAGGAAGTCTCAAAGTGCTTGATTTGAAAAAGGCTGAAGAGAAAAAACAATGTTAGTGGGATGATCTTTAGGTCAGTTTCCACTAGAGTTTTGAAGGATTTATTCAAAATAAGATGCAAGTTAAAAAGATACAAATTAAAAATGTAGTTTAATTGATTAAAAGGTGTTTTTGAAACCAACTTCCAACAATTCTCCAATGCATCTAACAGAGAAAAACTCTTTATTTGTTCACAAGTACTGTGTGATGCCATTTTTGTTCGGTGTAAATGGTAAACTACAAACAAAACCTTACACTGTCGAACAAATACAATAGACAAATTGCTGATCCATATATTCTCCTGTTGTTCTGATATAAAAATAATTCTGGCTGTCAGACGGCGAGCTTTTGCTCATACTGTTCGTCACCAATACACCAGCAGATTATTGTTGTATGACCTGATTTATAGAACCCCACTTTTGTAAAAAGATCTCATCATAAGACCATAAGAAATGCTAGACGAAAAAAGACCAAGGTCCTTCTAGTTCGCCTTCCACCTTTCAATTTGAAAGAGTATTTTGGAAGTGCAGCAGTAAACTTCATAAATATGCAATAATGGATTATAAACGTTGAGTCTGGAGTTCAAAACATTGTCATCATCTGACTCAGACCAAGCCATTGATGCTATTTGCAGAATATTCGATCATCTCGACTAAAGGTGATATTCACTGAAAGAATTCTGTTTAAAGTAAATCTAGATTGCAAATGAAAAGCATTTGAAGCATTGAAGTGTGTATACTTTGCAGTGAGAACTATCACAGTGCTATTCTTTACTTATTTACATTCCCATCATGCTAGCTTTAACCCAGCAGTGAATTATCTAACCAAAACACAAACTTGAGCAGCATAGTTCCACATTGCATTATTTCCTGAGTATTTGTGTTTGTGTAAATGCACTGGGACGTCCTCCTGACGTGAAAGGCGCTTTATAAATGGAATCTTGTTGTTGTTGTTGTTGTTGACAGGGAGCATGCACTTAACCTGTATTGAATAACTGATATCAATTGTAATACCTTATAATACCCTGCTTATTCAAACATTTTTCATAGGTCTATAATTATCCACCCGCTGCTTCCGAATAAAAAAAGCGATGGATGTAAGTTATCATAAAGTTATTATAAATGTGAAAGTTTAATATTATGCTGCTAAGAGTTCAGAAAGCAGTTAATAAAACCAGACAAGAGGGTCCAATGTAATAATAATAATCCTTACATTTGATATACCGCCTTATCATGTCTTTGAGACGTCTCAAAGTGCTTCAGAGAATATACGGTAAAGTGAATTGACTGTATATTTTGCGGGTGAAACGTGGCAGTCAATTGTGCACAGCAGTGTCCCACAAACAGTCGTGGATTGAGTGACCAATTTATTATTTTTTTTAAGGAATTATTCCTCCAGAAAAGCAATCTGCCAATTGACTAACAACTGGGTTCCTATCTACTGCTAGGTAAACAGAGGCGTGTGGAGTAAGGAAACTTGCCCAACATTTCATCCTGCCTGGGAATCCAACCCAAGTCTGTCGCTTGCAAGGTGAGTGCTCTATCCACTGAGCTACAGTAGTATAGCAGACATATTGGAGAAGGGATATCACCTCGCAATGATACACTTAGTAGAGTTTAGTACAGGTAGTATGTGTTGTTCTATTTTGTTGATTCAAATTATGGTGAACAAAGTAGAACTCTGGTTCAAAGTTAAATTACAGGCTTTGACTGGATCACTTATTAAACAAGCAACTGGTTTCTGCAAGAGGCATCACAGTGACTCCAGAATAACAGCAGCACAAACCTTCAGTTTCTTGAAAAGCTCACAAAATCAATCCGAGCCTCCACTCTCTGTACATAAGACATTCAACAATGTTTTCAAACAATGTCTGTTACAATGATTTGTTTTTAACAAACATCTGAAGAATCTTTTAAAAATATATAAAAAGTTGACAGGATCAGCAGCATAGAAATAAACATTATTAAACAAATAAACAATTCATGTAAAGTTTTTCACAGTGGGAGAATGTCTCAAAAGGCTTCACGCTGCTGGAAGGGCACTTGGGGTGGAGAGGGGGCGAGAGGAATGATGACCAAAAATGCGGCCAATATGGTACATTTTTGAGATGTGTCTTGAAAGAGGGGAGGGAGGGAGAAAAGTAAAGTACTAGTGACTAAATATCCATGGACATTTTGACAGCCGACTCACCATTATTTTTTAAAAAAAAGTAAAGCTATAAGTGCTGGATCCATCAGTGACTCGATTCCTTTTCGTCCTTCCCTCACAGCTTCTCCAACAAAGTGATGATCACATCATCGTCCCTTCCCTGCCACAGCATCTCACCCTCAAAGTGCACGTATCCATGCTTCCTCGCCCGCATTAAGATGCCCACCACTTTGTCCGAGATGCGGACATAGCGCTCGAAGAGCTCCCCGAAAGTTATGCGGACTCTGCTGTCCGCTCCTGGCTGGCCCATGCTCCTGATGATGAAGCACATGTCCATCACCTCCCGCCTGATGTGAGCCTCGGCTCTCTGGGCTCTCTCGGCTGTCTTGGTGCCTTCTTTTGGCCGCCCATAGCCCTGGTCGCCTTTCTGCAGGCGGGTGGCCATGGCTAACTCATGATCAAACTCCTCACTGAAAGGGTTGAGTTTCTGCTTGACCTGGTGGTGATCAGCCCACTCCTGCCACTGGCTTTTCAGACTCGTCAGCGGGTTATACTTCTTTCTGGCCACCAGGTTTTTGTTCTTGCCAATCTCTTCCCTGAAGCTCAATAAGCCACCAGCTCTCTTAATCCTGGGCAACACCTCATCCTCATCCCCATCCCCAGCCTCCTTCTCCCTTTTCCATGACTTGGTGCCTCTCTCCAGTCTCAGTGCAGCAGTCTGGCCTCCCTGCTCTGGGTCTATGTCTGGGCTGCTGATGCTCTGGGACTTGTCAATTGGGGTGGGTTGAGGCTCGTTTTCTTTCTCGATCTTCTTCCAGCTCCTGGTCAGCTCCACCACCAGGCTGGAGCAGTGGCGCCTCCTGCTGGGAGACCTGTGGTCTTGCAGAGACTGGGCTCCTGCAACCAACTCCAGCCCGTATTTGCTGCTCAAAGCGTTCACGTTGTCTCTGCCACATTCGTGCAACTTGGCGTCCACGCTTTTTGTCACGTCCTTGGTCTTGATCTTCACCCCAAGATCCTCAGCTTCCTCCAGATCTTTGCAAGTGGCCAGGAGGAGTGCTGGCCGCTGACCCTGATCCTTCAGGCTGTGCTCTATGAGGAGCTGCTGGCTTTTCTTCTTGTCCGGAGGCTGATTTTGCTGGTCATCCACAGATGGCTGCCACCCCACGGGGCCAGACGATTGGCGGTGTGTGTTATCGTTGGCCCATTGCTGCCAGCTTCTGGCCAGACTCCCGACCAGAGCCACACTCCTCAGCCTCCTGACAGCGCGCTTAGGCACTTCCCCACGCTTGGTGCTGTCCCAGGACATGGCTGTGGCTGGGGATCCGCTCTGGTGCATCAGAATTGCTTTTCCCTCCTCTTGCTTCTTGTGTTTTGATGTGGGGACAGACTGCCGTTCCCTGCAGTGTGAGCTGCCTTTTAAACAGTTGCTGGGACAGATAGTGTGTTGGTTGGAAACTATGCTCGGTATTGGGTTTCCAACTCGCCCTCTAATGTGACTGACTGAGTGGAGTTGGAGGTGAGAAAGGGCGTCAGGTTTCATTTCTGTCGCCATCTAAATGCCCTACATGCCATCTCTGGTAAACAAGATCTGACCAATGCAGACTCGACTTGACTTGTGTCAAATGTATAACGCCTCTGTTTACCTTGCTGTGATTAGGAATCTGGTAGTTAATCCATTGGTGGATTGCTCTCCAGGGGTAAAAATCCCTTCAAAAATAAATAAATAAATGATAATTTGGTCACCGTGACTGTTTGTGGGACACTGCTGTGCGAAATTGGCTGCCGCGTTTTACCCACAAAATACAGTCAATTCACTTTACAGTGTATTCTGTGAAGCGCTTTGAGACGTCTGAACAACGTGATAAGGCGCTATATCAAATGCAAGGATTATTATTATTACAACAACTTGCATATACATAGCACCCTTCATGCTGGACGGCATCTCGGAGCGCTTGTTAATATTAATAAAATAAGACAAGGAACCAAGACTGGAATTTGTATGACAGTGTTGTCATTTGGCATCACTGGTGAAACTTGTAAGTTCATGGAAAATGCATGACCTCATCCAATCTGAACACGTGGAGAGAAGGCAGACAGATTGCCTTCATGTAAACAACAAGTTGCATTTATATTACACCCTTCATATAGGATAACAGTTTGTACGGCAACTTCAGAACAATAATAACCTTCAGAACAATAATAATCAAATAACCTTCTCTCCTAAGCAGGTATTTACATAGTCTATGAAAAGACTGTAAGGGTTTGTGAACAAACACTAATTTTCACATCCATCTCCGTATTTAGTCAATGTGAAGCTCGGAAATTGAAAATCAAAGCAGAGAATCTCCATTGTGTTCATCAAGAGCGTCCAACACCCTCTCATACCTTTCAAAAAGAAGTTTCCTGAAGTTCCTTCAGGCTGGTGTTCAGGCTCCTGAGGCAGCCCTGAAGGCTTTTCTCGGAGCAAATCAAAGGCATGTTGATCAAGCCCTCCTTCTCACTTGGCTCATTTTTCACATTTTATGACTGTCGCATTCTGTATTGACAGCAATTGGTGGGGAGATGATTACATAGAAATAATAGTCAGGATTTATAAATACATGTAAGGCTGTCTCAGCCGTGCACAAATAGGGGACGGAGCAAGTGATAATTTATTAACTCCTAAAGCTCAAGCCTTGTTAGTAGGTTGCGTTAAATATGCATAGAGATCATTTAAAAGTAAACGAGAGACCCCATCATCCGTAAAAGTTGTCATCCCTACTCTGGCATTCCGTAGGTAATAACATTGCATTAGAGACCATTGAGCCCCAAGGAGTTCTCACTTTACTTCTCTCTCTCTTCACCCTACCCTTCCATACATACCCAGCATCCATACACACATTGGTAAAAGAATGTCATCATGCTCATTAAAATGGAAGTTTTTGCAACAACATTCATTTACAGAGTGCCCTTCACATAGGATAACCTCTTGGAACAACAACAATAAATTTCTATAGCGCCTTTTACGTTGGGAGGACGTCCCAAGACCCCTCACACACAGGGTAGCATCCCAGAACACTTGAAATTGGCGGAGCACAACACCTAGCCGGGGGGAGGGGCAGGTGACTGTAGGCACTGTCGAAGAGGAAGGTCTTCAGGCCCGATCTGAAGATGGGGAAGGAAGGGGCAAGGTGGAGGGATAGAGGAAGAGTGATCCAGAGTTTCGAGGCATAGTGGCTGAAAGCGTGGCCTCCGATGGTGGAACAGAGAGCACGGGGGACATGCAGGAGGCCAGAGTCAGTCGAACAGAGGCAACTGATAGTGGGTTGGGGAGTAAGCAGGTCAGAGAGGTAGGGAGGTGCCAGGGCATGAAGGGATTTGAAAATGAGTGTGAGGATCTTGAAATCGATCTGATTAGCCATTGGGAGCTAGTGGAACCGGGCTAGAACTGGTGTGATGGGAGTACAGAGTCTAGTGCAGGGTGAGTATGTGGGCAGGAGTATGTGAGTTTTGGATCAGGTTAATCTGAGCGCTTCATAATGACTGGGTTGAAGATCGAGCCAAAGGAGAGAGGGAAGGGGAGATCACCACAGGCATGAATGGAGGTAGGCTTTTAGATGGGATATAAAGATAAAGAGGGGATGAGATGAAGGGTTAGAAGGAGAAATTGAAAGGGCAGTGTGTAATGTTAATGTGTTGCTCAGTTTCTCTTTCCCCCCTGGTTTAAATGCGCATAATCACAATAAAGATATCCTATTCTTTACTGTGGCATGTCTGCACAGATTATTGTTTCATGTTGTTTCATTTTTTGCAAAACATTATTGACTTAAACAATACAACAACAAATTACATTTGTAACAGCGCCTTTTACGTCATGAGGACTATTTTAGGAAAAATACAATTCAAAGATCCGATGTGAAGAGCTCCACATAAAGTGGAGTCCTGTAGCTCAGTGGGTAGAGCACTCGCCTTGCAAGCGAGACACCTGGGTTCAATTCCAGGCAAGGTGAAACTTTGGGCAAATTTCCTTACTCCACACTCCTAATAATAATCCCTCCAAAAAACAAACAAAAAAATAAATTGGTCATTTTCAATCCACGACTGTTTGTGGAACATTGCTGTGCGCAATTGGCTGCCGCGTTTCGTCCACAAATATACGGTCAATTCACTTTACAGCATATTCTGTGAAGCGTTTTGAGACGTCGAGAAGACGTGAAAAGTGCTACATCAAATGCAAGGATTATTATTATATTATTATTAAATGTCCAATGCACACTTTATTTAGGAAAAATACATTGTTGTAAACATCATGGGGGGGTATTCTCCTTTGTGGGTAAATGTATTGACTTTTTACACAAAGTGCTTATTATTTTCTGCTTGACAACAACTGTATTGATGCTTACAAGGGGAACGTGCACTTTACAGTGTAGTTTTTAGTACATTTACTGACCTTTGTTGCTGCTTATTATGGTATTTTACAGATACTGCCAAAAGTTTCTCAATATATTGACATACTAAATATATTGACAAATTATATTGTCAATATATTGACAAATTATATTGTCAATATATTGACAAATTATTGCAAAAGGGATTAAAGGATATGGGGATAAGGCAATGTTATGGTATTAACTGAAGTTAGATTAGAAGATCAGCCATGAAGGGCCAAATGGGCTACTCCTGCTCGTACATGTTATGTTAAAAGATAAAATGTGCTAAAAAGAGAGTAAGAATAATTATACATATATTTAGACAACCTTGGAATTTATTTTGATCAGATTTAGAAGAGGATCTATTATTATAAACTCACAACTTTGAGCAATGACTGAGCAATATGGCCTGTACATTAAAACTCATATAAGTCTGATCTGTACAAATTGTAAAATCACCTAAGTCATACATCTGCCCAATTCCCTTTCAAGAGTTTATTTTCCATACAAGTTTGACATAACTCATTCTTTGCAAAAGTCAGAATGTATGGTGCCAACTGATACCACTTATGTGAGGTTTACTGTAAGGAAATGTTCTTTTTTTATACTGTAGTGCACTGTAATGAAACAATAATAATGAATGAATTAAAAAGCCACATATCCTTCAGGAATTTGACCATGGATTATTTTGATACAAGATGAAGTTGAGTCCCAAAATAGTTTTCTTACACTGAACAATATATATGTGCACAAGACCATACAGGTCATCCCATTTTCTAACGCACTATTGCTCGCTAACTTTCATACGCCCCAATTACCACTGCCATAATCTTTCAATTCATTCGATTGATACTTGGTAAGTAAGGATATTAGGGGAAATGGAGAAAAGGCAAGGAAATGGAATGAACAAATTGTCATTAGATTAAATAGCAGAGCAATTTGTACGGTCGAATGCCCTCCTCCTAGTCTCATCCTCCTATTATTGCCATTTAATTCCATTAAACAAACCCAATCAAAGATTCGAATGTGATGTTCTCAATGGGAATAATGTTTGTTACACCATCTTATCCAACTTTCATCATTTGCACTGATCTCATTGTGATCGATTTGGATTCTAAATTTAATGGAGACCTGAATTCAGCGATTAAAATGTCAAAATAGTTTAAAATAATCTTGATTCACATCAGCATTGAGGGCTGTGCTGCAACTCCATTTTATTTATGTCTCTTAGTTATTGATCAAACACAATGCAAATAAATTGCCTTGTATATACAATATGTAAGCAGCACTTACTAACTACAGTATGTAGCTCACAAGTACAGCTTTGTCTGTATGATAAATATAAAGATGGCAGTAATTTATGGCAGTTGATAGTAAATTATGCTAAATTATCATTTTAACAACCACTGATGAGATATTTGATGATTGTTGCCATGTGATTTGCAGCACATATGAATAAATTGTGTAGTGTTGCTTCTATATAGATTACAGGAATACTATATTTCCCGTAGAAGAAACCGCATGAATTATTTCAGCAATGTTTTGTATATATATACACTTTCAAAAAAGGTAAGCTTGAATATTCCAATAAAATTCATATTAGTCTTTTTTTTAAATTCTGGGCTATAAACTAACCCAATGAAAGCAAATTAAAAAGTTTACAGTTAGAAGCATTTTGACTTGATTCAGAACCTACTACCTTCCAAATGTATCATTCTTGCTTACAAATGTAATCCTACCGAATATTCACATTTTAGCCAATGTGTATGATTACATTGGTTTAGTAGTACATGGTACAATGTAAAGCAACACATTGTAGGGAGTGCTGATTATTAACGATTGCCAGTAAATGTGCAGTATCCTTACTCACTCAGGGCAATCTCATAGTATAATTTTATAAAATGAACTCAGACAACCACCATCCAAAAAGTGAGTCATTTTTAAATCCATTTTATTTATGGCAAATGGAATTATAGTGTAATAAAATGTGCCTGGCCTGACATTGCATATCTGACATAGGGAATGGAATCCTTTAGGAAGGGGGGGGGT